ATTCACCAGCACTGAAGAAAAAAATCACTTAAAAAATAAGGTCTAGTTCAAAATGAATTGTGCAAGAAACCAAGTGGCACCAAAGTAAATCCATCATATAAAGGATTTGCACTGCTTCCAGAAAGAGTTTGGACTCCTGGTGGGAGCTCATTTCTGTGTGAGTGACCACAAAATAAAGCTCTTAGGTAATACAGTGATAGGTACTCAAAAATATGATAGATGGAGAACAAAGGTTAGCTCTACTTTATGTTTAAGTCCATTACATTCTTGATCACATACTTTAATGGCAAAGCAGCTGCAGAACTTGCAAATTACAAGCTCTAGCTTTGTTTTCAGAGCTGCTGCATAAATAGTTGTTTTTAACAACTCCAGGCAGGCATTTCTTTCCGTAAATTGTCCTAAGAGTGTGCTGTGAGTCTGCAGCAAGGAATTGTTCCCAAAAATCCAGTATCATCTGAACTGGAGAAGTGTATTATCCATCCATTTCCCTATTTGTGTTTTCCCCATGGTTCCTTGTAGCAGTTATTGTGCTGGGGTTGGAGATCACTGTGCCCAGCGCTGTTGAATGAGGTCCTCAGTGCTCATCTGCTTTTTGTCTGGAAGAGGGAAGAGCCCTCTGCAGATTCAATCTATTTCAGCTATTACCTTTCCTGCCTTTGTTAAACTGTTTTTACTGCACATTTAGATAAAGCCTGGCTGGCTATTGCCAGGAAAATTAGGTCTTCTCTTGTTTTACCATGAATTATAGAGTTCAAGATAAGGTTTGTGTTAGAAAAGTAGGGGGCAGGAATGGCCTGAATTTTACTTTCATTATAATTAGACAGGAAATTATGAAAAGGTGAAAAATAATTCACTAAAGAGCTTTCCTCTAGCAAGGTAACAAGTGCATTCTAGCACAGATGGAGTTCATGGGATATTATTGAACACTGTGGCTCTCAGTGTTTGGCTCTGCCCGGGCACAGTGAGCCTGTTTCTGTTGCACTCCATGTGTGGGCAGAAATGGGCAGGACGGGGCCCTGTGACTTCCCTTCTGTTCAACTGAGGGCCCTTTCTGCTACCAAAAAAAAATTAGGCTAAATTAGTCTGCAGTGTAACTCCATGGAAGCCGTTTGAATGACTGCAGAGATTAATTGGAATGATCAGTCACTTTTTGAGTGACTTGCAAAGGACATGAAAATATGACTAATCTAAGAATGAATTAATTGGACAGCTGTCTCACTTTCATTTGAACACTACTGAGATAAACATTTGGACTAAAAAGTTGTCCTCATTAGAACTTCTTCACTTGATGTTGATGGTGATGTTTACCACTACCATGGAACTACACAGTTTTCAGAATTTTCCTTCATGTGAAATTACTACAGTTCAGGCTTTTAAAGGCACTTTTACAGGGAGGAAAAAGGAGTGCATCAATCTTGCTTGGAGCTTCTAACTAAAGACTGTGCCAGAACCTCTCAGGTTATAATTCCTTCTGTAATAAACCTTTGGTAGTCGACTTCAGTCAAGTTTCCACCACTTCTTTCTGTTCAGCTTTGCAACCCAATTTATTTGTTTATGGTTTGCAGAAAAAGCAGAACACTGGGAGAGAAGTCTTTCCAGTGAGTTTGTGACAGAAGACCACTGAAGTTAATGAGATTCTTAGTGGGGATAAGGTTTTTGACCATTCAGAGTCAACAGAAGCTTCAGAAGCAGTATAATGCAGGTTAAAGCTGGGAAGAGGATGTATTTCTCTGCCTTGTTAGTGGATAAGGAAGTGAGATTCCAAGGGGAATGAGTGATTTACCCATAGTCACACAGCAAATCAGCAAGAGATATGGAAATTAATGCTGAGAAGCATTTCAGTGCCTTAATCATAAAGCCAATCTTTTCCCTCAAATGCCAACACCATTAAATTTCAATAATGGAATAAGCACAAGAGTTTCATCGACTTACAGTGATGTTTCCATCAAAATATTTTAGAGAGAAGCTGGTTCCAGTGGATTGGTTGGTCAGCAGGGATCAGCAGTTGTAGGGACCAGGGACTGTAGATGAACTTAAGCAAATTCACCTGTGAGATTCCTTTCAGGATCACATCATGCTAAGGTTGGAAAATGCAAGGTCAAAAAGGAACTAGGTGTGTTTTATTATATTCATCACTAATTAGTGGGCCTTGAAAAAACTGGACTGAAATATTGTCTTGTTGGGAAGCCATTAAACTGTTAGGCTGAGGGAATATATGGCTTAGAATAGGAATGATTCACAACTCTTGCCTACAAATAAATCACTTGTACCTCACATATCTATTTGACCATCTCTGAGCAGTATCAATGTGGTACCAAGGTAGCTGCTAAGGAGAAGCACGTGTTGTATAAATTCCTAAGAGCCTGGGACAAAGTCTGTTTTTATTTAAACCGGCTTCAATTCATTTTGTCTTAATTGAAAATAATGATGTTAGAGCAGTGATCAAAGAATTGTCTCATTAATTGTCTATTAAATCATTAGCTATTAAACAGGAATAAAAGGTTAAGAATGCAACACTCTATTCTGCCCAAAAGAATATGAATATCTCTCCAATTACAAAGAAACAATAAAAGCAGAATTAACAGTGGAAAGAAGCTTAAGATTAGGTAATTAGATCCAAAATGCCTGACAACTCTGATTAGAGGGTTTAGTAGTACAACCTATATAGAAAAGGCAGCACCAATTCAGAAGCAAAGTCAATATTGACTTTACCAAAGGGGCTTGTAAAGGGAATATGCATTTTTCTGAAAAAATATAGGCACATAAGCCCTGTACTAAATTTTAACTCAGCTAATTAATTGTTATGGATTCAATCTTGCAACCAATACATATATTTGCAGTTAAAAAATTATACCTGAACAGCATTCAGTCTGAGAGCACCTCTCAGTAATTTGTGACTGAAATTCATTAAAAGTATGCTGCAATTTTCAGAAAAATAACATTACTCCCATTTTATATCACCAGGATGAGGCAATATCTAGTCAATGAAGACCACAATCAGACCTCTTGTTTTTGTTCATTGAGTCAAAATATCAGAGAGACAGGTACCAGGTCTGGGAAAGGGTCCCAGACATTCTCCACTGCCAGGGGTTTGATGCCCAAATAATTTCACAAAGCAGTCAAATAAAGACCTGATTTATACCACCTTAGTCGCTACCAAAAAAACCTGGCAAATTTATTGTGCAAATCTTATGAAACCCGTGCAGAATCTTGGCCTGTGTTTTGGTCTGCTCTATCCAGGAATGGGAAGACACTCACCAGCCTGAGGGTGCTTTGGAGCAGATCTAATTCCACCGAGACGGACAAAGTTTTGAAAAAGAGAAAAGGAAAGATGGTCAAAGGGCAAGAGCTTTGCTGTATTGAAGTGCATAAATCCACAACTGCAACTGGAAATCTTGTCTCTGCTCACAGAGGTCATGTCAAGACTTATTTAGTTGCCAGCTGTAGTGGACCTGTTAAATTTGGGAACCAGAACAATTTTATGTCCAGCCTTGACAGGATACCCATAAGGACAACTGCTGATTGACCAAAATGGGCTTTAAAGAGGCAGAGCTCTGAAATGCAGCATCTCTCCACAATCTGCAGATATTAACTCTACTAATCAAAGAGGAATGGGAGTATTTTTCCTGACCTTTTCCTATCTGGTTCAGCCCAGAGAGGTATTCTCTAACTAGAGCAAGTCCTAGAAATACTACAAACTCAATCAATAGAAACAAAAGTCCCCATACACCATCTTTTAGATCTGGATCTGTTTTTCTGAAGTGCAAAGAAAAGATAGTCCCAGTAATATCTTGATGATATATAACTTGTTGCTTGAGTTTATAATATGAACAAGTCACTGTTCATATTTATCAACTGATAAATAATAGCCACTAGTCAGATAATAGTTATGTGCCACCCAGCAAAAAAAAAAAAAAATAACAACATTTATCAAGACAGTTTATTTGACAACTAATTATGTTAGTCATAAAAATAGATATTCATCCATGTTCCTCTGGTAAGGATCTTCAAAGAAATTTGGTTTCCAGAAAAAGAAAATGGGATTTTTTCTTTCCCTAGCTGATATAGAAGGAAAAATATAGAACCCATAAATAATACCAAAAAACCCCTCATCCCATACAGAACTCACTGTAGTCAATTCTTAAGTTCATTTAAAACAAGAACATTCCCATAACACATAATAAAACAAGTTAACCTATTAAAGATATTCAAAAGTACCTCTTTTATGCCTAGAAATAATAATGAGCTAAAAGCTGAAAGCCATGCAATGGTGTCAGAAGTCAGGCAGTCAGTGTCATGATAAAGTCCATTAATGCTATTTTCATCTCAATGTCAGGGAGGCAGAACCAGTTGAAAATAACATTTACAAAACCCCAAAGAAACAAACAAACCACAACATTGTTTAAAAGCTCCCAGCTCTCCTTTTAAGAACTTTTGCGACGTGGCTGTTATTTTCTATTCTCTGTCATGCTTCTCCAGATTTTGGCACCGTTCAGTATCTTTAATTATAAGAAAGTCCTGACTGGAAACAGGTGATACAGCCAGAAGCATGGAGGAAATCACCCTGTATGCTGTTACAAAATACTACATTATTGCTGGGAAACAATGGATGCAGCAAATCCACGCAAGAACAAAGACCCCTTTGGAAAGAGTTGATCTTTCCTAAATGCAATATATCAGCTACACACTATTTCTCATCAGCACTGACTGGCCAGCAAAGAAAGACTAGGACTGCTCTTTTAGTATCCCTGGCCCTTTCTTGCACATGGAACAGACCAGGTCAAAGAACTCTGCATCAGTCTGTTGAAATGTGCTAACTCTGCATGACCTCTGGAGACCCTCCCCAGTGCACAGCAGGTACCACCACCCACCACAGAAACAGCCATCCCTCTAAAACAACTGCTTGATGGAAAACCCCAAATGTGGGCCAGGTCCCAGTATGGTGGTGGTGGAGGAGAAAAGGGTGAGAACTCCATCCTCCACCTCAGATGGTGCCTTACCTTTATGACATCTTCATCAGCTGATCTGCACTCGATGGAGTCTGAAACGTCCACCACGGACCCGTCCTCCTGCACGGCAACGACCTTGACTGGAACTGACACCATTCTGCCCGTCAGAATGGCTGTGTTCAGGACCTCTGTGTCCTGCATGCACAGACAAAGGGAGGATGGGTGTTAGAGAAGCACAAAACCATGAAAATGAACCAACCCTGCCTCTGATGGGGACAGGCTCAGAGGTGGGACCCTCCCTTGCACACGCCCTTCGATCTCCCTGCAGTCAACAGTTTAGCAACTTTCTAAGCCAAAAGTTGCATGTGGACAGTCGAGTTTTGGTTTTGAGGATTTCTTCTTTTTGAGCTCATTTACAGGTTTGGCTGCAGTGGCAATGAAATCTGTGATGCAATGAGGCACAAAGGCCTGTCTGCAGCTCAGGAGAACCACAGCACTACTCAGGTAGGATCTCCAGGGTGCCAGCGACTCCTCCCACCCCTTTGCCCCAAATCATACCAGCAATTTGGGAGGTGATAATCAAGCATTACAATAACAGCATTTCTTCCTCACTGTTCCAGCTGACAGTGTTGTGAGTTGACCAATTTCCCTTTTCAAAACATAAAATACATGAGGAGAAAAACTCTACCTCCATACACAGGTTTTTTTTTTAATCTTTCCCCATCAAAATCCCACCTAGAGATGTTTTACCACATTTATCTCTAGTCCTGATGAATTCACAGTGCTGGCACTCTAATGGTTCCATTAACACAGCCTTCCTCTGTGTCTCAGTATGGCTGCAGTTTGATTAATTACTCCAAATGAGTTGCTTCAGAGGTCCCTGCCTTTGGTAAGCAGGTATGCAGACTGGAGGGGAGCAGCTTGTCTCTGCATAAGCAGTGCTTACTGCCAGCCCAAAACTTGACACACATGCTGGGCAAGGAATGATCTGGGATTTCACAGAGATTCATTCCGGCCGTCTAGAAAATCCTGCAATAGGAAATACTGCTTTGAATCAATCCACTTTTCATTTTTCAACTTCCATAAAACTAATTGCTTGCCAGTTGAGGGGGGGGGGGGAAAAAAAGTTGCTTCAAACTAATCTAACTTTAAATTCCATTATTAGAATTGGTGGAAGAAGAAATGGATTTTAGTGAAAAATTTGATGGCAGCTTGCACAGGGAGATATATTCACTATCATTTGCTCTGCTGCTAGATTGATGGAGAATAATGGGCATTGACCACAAGCTAAGGACAGCTGGAGAAGACCAATAAATACTTGCAACTAAGATGTATTATTAATCAATATTCAGAAACTTCTACAAAAAGCGCCCTGAATTAAATGAGCTGAAGTACTAATAACACTAGTGCCAGCTAACTAATAGAGTCTACCAGAGGTTTATGGGCAGCCATGTTCCAGAAAAGCATTGAAGCACACACTCGAGTCCATTTCTGATCAGAACAGCACTAAGAGGACGTGCTCAACTCGACACTTAGACTTCAATGTGATTTAAGAGTCATCCTGAAAAAAAGATGCTTTTCTGAATAATACCTCATGAAATAAATACACCCTCTTTGTTCTGTTCTCTGCCAGGCACAAACCAGATGTTTCACGCAGTAAATGACTGTCTAGTTTTTGTTTATGCTGAATGGGTTCATTTATAACCAGCTGCCATCCATGAGAGAGGGACACTGGGAAAGAGAGAAGTATGTGACAGAAGTGGAAGTGTGAAAGAACGACTGTAAAACCTTTGCAAAGACAGATCTGAAAAGGGCTAAGAAGAAAATGCATTGCCAGGTGAAAGAAAACACTTAGATCCACCTCAGTTGGAAAAAGGTTGTATAAGACAGACAAAGAGAAACTGAGGGTAATTCATCCACAAGCATGTCAGAGAAGAGATAGTTACATTTCACCAAACCACCTGCAAATATTCCATATATCCTAGGCCATCAATCCAATATAAACACATACCAGATATTTGATGAAGACCTGGTGGTTCTGTCTGAAAAGGGTCCCAAGGACCAGTTTGCCACTGTGTTATTTCTAAGCCATTCTCCAACAACAGACAGTCTTCTTCAGGACATCTGGGGAAACACTATTTTGGCCAAGGTCACAAACAATGAACACATGACTAATGCCATTTCCAAACACACTCTGTTAGCACAGCAACTCCTCCAGGTCAGGCAGGCAGCACTTGTATGCAATTACAGTCTGGTCCAAAGCCCTACCAAGTCACTGGACTTCAGTGGACTTGGAACCAGGTTCTCAGCAGGCCTGAACCAACTTCTCCTTTGGTTTTTGTGCTGTTTCCTCCGTCACCCACATGTTGACCAGCATGTGTGACAAAGGATAAAAAACCTCTGCCTCCTTTGAACCCTAAGTGCTGTTTAGGTACCAAAGCTGAAGTCTGACTTTGATGTGCTGAAGGATAATGCAAAGTTTATAAAGACATTTGCATTCCTTTCATAACTCCCTGTGAAGATGAGCCTGAGACGAGTAAAAGCACAAGAACTGTCCTGAACCTTCTCTGTTTCCCAGTGTGTACAGGAACCCACCATGCTAATTAGCTGGTGCTGCCTCGCAAAAACTGCACTTCACTGCAAGCAATTCCACTATAGAAATCAATATTTCAGATGCCTGATGCCTGGAGTGAGTGTTACACAAATATAATAGGCTGTAAAGACCTTTTAAAGAGCCAGCTATTTAGAGACTGAAAAAATATATTTCCTCTGAGGAAGAAATATGAACTAATTGACTGTCCATTAGATTTATAAACAGACTTTTTAGTGCATCTTCAACAAGTAACAGCATTTCATCTAAATTCTGTTGGGCTTGGTCTGTATTTCCATAGTAGGGTTTACTGCAGGAAAAAAAGTTACTGAACTTTAGATACCTGTACTGGTCATTACTAACAGCATCTCAAATGCAGGGAGGGATTTACACAGGGAGATTTACACAGGTATGTCCTCCCAAGTTGGCACAGCATAAGTGAAACATCAGGAACTACAACCAGGGACCGCCAGCACAAACCTCCAACTGTGGACACTTCAAGGTCCCAGGTGGAAAACTGGGAATCCTTCCCCATTTCTATTGTTGAAGGTTTCAGCTGCCAGATCTTGACCAAAACCTTCAACTCAGCAGGCTGGGTGGAAGCTACACACTCATATCACAGCTCTATCCATGAATAATAATAATGTGCGTGTTTATCTCCAGCTCTTTCTTGATACCTGAATGCATAAGCACCTCAGCAGAGCTCTTCTTAATTACAACTGTAACCTGCTAATAGCATTTCTTTGTTGTCTGAAGGAATCTACTTCTTATGCAGGCTAGGCTAAATTAAAATTTAATACAACATCAGGTCGCAACAGAACTAGGAAGCAAATGACAGCTGTTTAATTAAAACCTAAAGCTGATTAGATGGCACTACTGAGAGAAATACTCAAGAGGAAGAGCTGAAAACCACTGAAACTCTAGGCCAGGATAATGGCTTTATTTAAATATGAATAAAGGGTGCACACAGCCATAGTAAATGTTTGACAACTGGTTGCTTCGGACAAATGGGGGGAAATGTGAACAGCAGATGTGTCAAAAGTCTTGATAGAGCTGTGACTGCAAACACTGCTGTTACCTGTGGATGTGACCAGAAGCAGGGATTACTGAGGAATGACTCCGATAGGTACAAACCAACTGAGGAACTCCAGGCACAAAGTTCCCAATTACACTTTAAACAACACCCTGGTGACCTAAATCCTCCTTAGACAGGTGACTCTAGAGCAGCTCACCCACCTCCCGTAAACCAACACGATGCAGCTTTTACCCCCTCCTTTGGCTGCAAAATAAAGGCACGGAGAAATAGATCACACATCTCACAAGAAAGCATCTCAAGAGCCAGCCCAAAGTTACCTAGACCCCAGCCCAAAGCCAGCAGTGCAGGATTCCTGCCCCTCTGGGAGCAGCCGGCATCCTTCCCACAAAGTCTGGCGAGGCACAGAGGTCCCCCACTGACCCAGTTTGCTGTGACATGTATCATCCTTGTGATTAATGCACGAGCTGGGCGTGTTTTTTTAGAGGTTAACAAAACCTGCTACAGTACAGTAAACCCAATAAACACTCAATTGTAAATCAGAAGGGAAACCTAAAGCCAGCCCTATTCCACTGACAAATGCTACAGCTAAATGCCTTTTGGCATTTAGCTGAAATGACTGTCTTTAGTGAAGAAGGCAGAGAGCTGGAACATTTGTCTGTAGAATTGCATTCCTTCATTATTATGTCTTTCCCTGGAGTGTACCTCACAAAAATACATTTGTAATATTAGAAGGAAACTTTAGGAAGCAGTTCTTCTGCCTGGAAACGGCATCTCTTAAAAAAAAAAATGTAAATTACAGGGCAGATTGTGGGCTGGGCTAGGGGAGGTTTTTTTATTTGATAAATTATTCACCACCTTTTTCTTCAGATCAAAGAGCAAGGCAATACAAATCCATTAAGCAAGCTTAATATATAAATTAGGTGCTTTGCTGAAATTATTGTAATCCAAAGCAATTCTGTACTTTCCCCACCTCATGGCTGAATACTATTTTAGGTTTTCCATACATATTAATGAAGCATGGTTGTGAGAAAGCTATCTATATTTCCCATTATAGCAGGTAAGATATACCATTTTGTCACCCAATGGTGAGAACAAACAACTGAGATTATGTGTGTATGAAACAATAGAAAACATAAACAATCTTGCAAAGAGCTGATGCTGTTCTTTGACCCTTTTTCCTTCTTCTTTTCCTTTTCTTCCTCTCTCCTAATAAAAGGCTACTTCCTTGCATCATCATTTCAGTGGAGCCACTTGTGGAATCAACTCTTACCAAGTTTTCAGGTCTCCCTGCCCTGACAAGCCAGAAGGTCGTTCCCACTCCCCTACAACATTTTTCTGTCTCTGGCTGCTTCCTCCTTTCAGCCTCTTGCCCAGCATATCACTGTTAGAAGGGATCAGTTATGACAGATGGCAAATCACAAATACTTCAGGCTATTGTGTCAAAGTTAAAGGTCATCCTTTATCTCCTTTGTTTACCTGCATAATAGCTTTATTTCATATGGGCATCCCAAAGGAAGAACAGGCAGGTGCATATATTCTGCAGGAGAAATTAATTAATGCAGATTGAACCATCACAGAGGTTCCCAATCACTGGTTCTTACCCAACAATGTAAGCAGCAACCATGAGCCTAATTGAATATTATTCTA